AGGGTTTCAGGGTCCCCCTAACTGGTACCCCGTCCTACATGGCCTCATCTTCTCCCACCCTGTGCCCAGCTGCAACCAGTATGAGCTTTCCTGAATAAAAATCTGATTCAGTTCTCTCCCTGCTTCAAGACTTTCCATGGCATCAAAAGACAGTTAGAAAAGACCAAAACCTCAAAGCAGTGCTCGGGGTGCTGCCTTCTGTGGTCCCGCAAGAGCTCTTCAGTTATCACCCAGAAATAAGTCTTCACCGTCATCATTAAGTCCTTTGGTGCACTGGCCTCTCACCCTAGGACCTTGGCACATGCTGTTCCGGTCACCAGGACGCCTAGCCTCACCTCACTCACTCTCCATCGTTCAGCTACTGGCTGCAACATCACTTCATCTGAGAGCCTTCCACAAAGCCCCACACCATAACACAGCCTCCTATGCCAGTCTCTCTCCTCAGAACACCGAATGATGGTTAGCACTGATTGCTCACATGACAGAATCTAGAATCCCTTAGAAGACAAACCTCTGGGAATGTCTGTGAGGAACTTTTTAGATTGGGTTGAGGTAGGAAAACTCATCCCAAAGTATTTCCTGACTGTGGGCAGGGTCCCAGACTGGGCTGGGGTCCCAGGCCGAATGAAGAAAGAGGAAACGGGCTGAACACCAGCATTCATCTCTCTCTGCTTCCTAACTAGATACAACGTGACCGGCTGCCTCAAGCTCCCGTCACTATTCCTTCCCTAGCCCGAGGCCCTTAGAACCGTGAGCCAAAATGAACTTTTCCTTCTTTAAGTTGTTTCTTGTCAGGAATTTGATCACGGCAGCAAGAAAAGTAACCAATATGTACCGTTTCCAGTTTGAAAGTATACAGTGCATTTATTAGCATTACTTAATGTGAAACGTTTTCAACTTCCACTTCGTATATGAGGACACACCCGTGAGCCAAAATGAACTTTTCCTTCTTTAAGTTGTTTCTTGTCAGGAATTTGATCACAGCAGCAAGAAAAGTAACCAATATGTACCACTTCCAGTTTGAAAGTATACAGTGCATTTATTAGCATTACTTAATGTGAAATGTTTTCAACTTCCGCTTCGTATATGAGGACACAGACTATTTCTGCTGTGCACACACTTCTTTCTGAAGTGATTAACTCCAGCCCAGCACACAGCATATGCACAATAAATGTCAACTGAATGAAGAACAGATGAAATCATTTAGATGGTTGAGTTAATGATATCTAGGGTGGCTAATGGATTGCGATTCCATAGAAAGTTGGGTTCTTGAGAAGCTCAGGGGTGGGTGTGGGAAACCCTATGGGAGAGCTGTCAGGAGAACAGGCATGCTCCCAGTGGGAGAAGCGTGAGGACTGATGAAGAAAGTATG